AAACGTCTACTTTTTACTGATTTTAGGCCAATTTCTGTGCGTTTAAACGCGTTTTCTCAAAAGTTTGTCTGCCTGGGTTCTTTTCTCAACAAGATCTAATAGTATTTTTTGACACAGATACAAAAGAAAACACAGAATGTGTATTCAATTGCTGATTTTCTCTAAATAGTTTCATCGCAAGAGAACCGTATTCATTGCAGTTAGCTTGAGACTAATAACTATGCTAGTCATAGAATTCACTGTGAACGAATTTCATCTATACTAATCAAATCTCTGCATAAGCAACTGAATTAAATGAGTCTGATAAAAAAATTAATTTTCTTTTTTTTTAAGTAATAAAACATGTCCTTCGCTTTTCACAATTCTCTAAAACATTTACCGACCATTTTTCATGTCGATATTATTTTTTCGACATTTTTACGGTCAACCGGTCATTCATTCAATCATTTTCGATCGTGACTAGAAAAAAAAATGCATATTATTTCATTGACGACGCCGGTCAAATTGAACGATATCATCGTATATATACATATGTATTGTGAACATGTGTTAATTAAGAAGAATTGATGTTTGAATATGAATATGAAAGATTCATTGATTCAATTAATCGATTTACCAGACGAAATATTAATGCTTATTTTTAAGACATTGAATAATGTTGATCTACTTGATTCTTTAATGGACATTAATATAAAACTTACTCAATTTGTACGTGATCCAATCTTTACTAATCGTTTGACATTATTTAGATGTTCATCAAATGATTTTATCTATCCATTAGATAATACAATACTTGATCGATTTTGTTTACAAATTCTACCTGAAATTGATCATAAAATCAAATGGCTTAACCTTGAATCATCATCTATTGAACGTATTCTACTTGTTACTGATTATTCTAATTTACATGGACTTGGTTTGTATAATATTAAAGAAGAGACATTTCGACATTTATTTGCTGGTAAGACATACGATAATTCTTCTATCCATCAAAATTTACTAAACTAAATCTTAATAGATATTATAAAACAGGAATCTAATTCGCATTTGAATTAAATAGGATTTAAGAGAAAAATAAGTAGAAGAGAAATTAATTTGTAGATTGAAAAAGAGAACGATATATATATATAACTTAAGTAAAACATTCATCCAATTACAAAATGCTTCATATGAAAGTTTTTTTTCTGTTTTCGAATTTTGAAAGATTTTCAGAAATATAATATGGTAATTTAGAATACAATGTGTATACAGAATTAGAATTAGTTATCAAATATTTGGTAACATCTTTCATAACAAGAAAAACTCTACATTATGTTGAGTTAAATAAAAATTAAACAAATATATCCTGATTTAATAAATAATAACAATTGTGAGAATGTATCTTATTGATTTTTCTTATATATATGTTTAGATGAAAGTATTTTAACTGATATCTATAAAAAACAAATTTCAAAATTAACTATTGCAATGGCTACCAATAATACAAGATCATTTAAAGATGAAATAAGAACTGTATATACACATATATTTACTATTTTTATAAATTTGCAATATTTAAATTATCTTTCACATTCAAATGATTATATGCATTACTTATCGTTCGATGGAAAACCTCCAAATATATTTTCTTCAATATTAACAGAATTACATATTAATTTGGCAAATTTTGACGATTGTCTCTATATACTTGATGGATGTTTCATTCAACTTCGTAAATTCTATGTTAATG